GTATTCACTGAGCAACCCGCTTATATAAAATCATAAGCTATATGTAGGTACTCACTGAACTTTTCCAAAAACTGACTGAGTGTGAGGTAACCCTTTTGCTCGACATCCAATGTATCAAATACGATCTCCAATTGTTCCGGRGTCATCGAGAGCTCGTCTTTTAATTTCTAAGTAAATCATTATTATTTAAACTAAACAAATAATAAATACATATGTTTCAATATTAGGTATGGCTTACACGAGTTAATTACTAAATTTAGAATTTAGGGTACGAATGCAATATCTCGTGTAGGTTATCATCGATTAAATTCATTGTAATCAATTTAAAATGTACCCTCCCCCCTTTTTCCCGAGTGACCTCTAGAGTCTAGATCAACTGCCGGGTATTATAATATAGTACTGGTATGAATAATACAGTTATTACTTTATTGTTTATTAGTGTGTTTGAGTACGCGCGTTCGATAGTTTTGTATAGGTATATAAAAGTACTAACCACTATAGGTATATATTAGTATATTACTACACAGTGACAAAGCACCATACAAGACGCTATGGCTATAATATATGCCGTCGGATCGTTTATTCAATTTTAAATATTAGTTGTACGCACCACTGTATATGTATTATTATATATAGGTGTCTACTGTGCAGTTCTTTGAGAATCTATACATACTTTTTTTTTCTTTAATATTTATTGTCTGTACGGCGTCGTAGTATACGTTATAATAGTAATATTATGTACTTCGTCATTGCTGTCGTATATAATATGCATATATTGCTTTCCGCGCAGACAATAATAATATAATACTGTATAGTTAAGACACAAATTACGATAATTATCTTTGCTTGTTCGTTGTTTAATAATAATCGGGTGCATTATATTATATAGATACCTACCTACCTATTTAGAATACGAAGCAGTAAAATAATTAGTTATTTGGTGCGTTATTACGTCCGACGACGGACTGGTTTCGAGTTGTGAGAGCGTACTATATATACCTATCTAATCAAATTTAAAACGTCATACATTTCCTTCGTAGAATACCAAAAYGCTAGCTATCATGTAGGTACCTACGACAAAAATTCGATCGTCGAAACGTTTATAAGTTCTGCACACACAATAATAATTTTAATATTTTGTAAGTACGTTAATAATAATTGCCTGCAGATAATGAGTTTGATTATACGACGAGATTATATTCTATCGTCATTGATTGTTTTTAATACTCTCTCTTGAATCGGCTCGTTAATCGAAATCGAAATGATTGTCGCTTATGATTTATTTTCCTGTCCATATTTTCATTGCATGTAATACACGTGCAACATTTACTTTTTTCGCTCTTAATTTATATACACCTAYAGGTATATATTTATAYAAAATATGTATACCTAATAAATATTTTAAACTGTATATGCTATATTATAGATTTATAACAATGATGTGCAATACACATATTATGTTTTATAGCATTTTATTGTGTTGTTTTGTAAGAATGTATTTTGTTCATGTTAAAATTTGATATTAAATGGTTTMGARGAATTCAATGGGAAACTCGGTTCGACAACATGCGTGTTTAAACAAGTGTTCGCTATTATTATTATAGGTGTAAAAATCGCTGACACGTATTTGGCAACTTTTAACATAAACACAAAACAATTATATATTATAATATACATTTATACAGGGTTTAAATGCAATTCATATTTCGTATGATGAGCTTTTTGAAATTCAATCGAATATTTTGGATGTACTAATAGTATGTACTAATAATCTAATTAATTTATATAAGAAATTGACGATCCAATAATGTASGCGATTATCTTAGTTCGACTTGACGATAATATAATATAATCAATACATAATTAAGGTTATGTATGTGATGTCGTTGTGGTCGTTGGGTGTTGGGATTGGGTAATGTGGGTGTTGTCATTAGAGTAAAATAAGTCAACTGTACTAGATATTAAGCTTATTGTGCTACTATTGAATAGGCTACGAGTATAATTATTAAGTTGAGTACCTAGGCGGACTAAAAATGAAAATAATAATAATTATCTATACTTAAATAAAGACGCACTGGTATTAATCATAAAAATATAAAATTGAGGTAAAAAATGAACGGGATTTAAAAATTCAAAATAAAAGTTATTTTTAAAACACTGTACATTTTATACAACATTATAATATAATATAATAAGTAGGCGCATGATGGTGTATCACATTACACCGTTCACTAGTCACTATATACGTACCTATTGATCCATCGCCGACGAAAATTCGAAATTTCAGTTTACTTTGAARTTAAATTTGAAAAAGGTATATCTACTTGATATGGTGCTTGTATTTATCGAGACTTGAAAAGTGTCGACTCGATCGTTCTATGTAGTGTATTTTTATATTATAATATTATTATACTGTTTGAGACTTGTTTGCAACATTATTGTGACAATCGCCACTTGTYGCTAACACTCGATTGATTCGCCTAGCCAACACAATATATAGTTTATTGTCAATTGCACTCATCTTGAATCTCGGGCATTATCTATCGATATACCTACTCAAGGRGCTTTATTCGCCCGATTATTTACAATTACGATATATTACAAAACATCAGTTGGTAGATTGAATTCGAGCCGAGCATACACACAGCAGACTTCGGTTCGAGACCAAACTATACGCGCAAATAATACATTTTCTCTTATGTAATAAAATAATATTGCATTGTAATAATATCTATATACTATATAATATACGCGTGCCATGTGTGTGTGTGTGTGTGTGACATAAATGATTACGAGTTAGATTCGTTAAGTTTTCCGATTAAAACCAAAATCATCCGTCGTCGTCTTTCGTCCTATTTTTCACGAGATTATACTATTATTATTATTATTCGTATTGTATAAGATAATATTGCACGCTTGGGATTGCTGCAGCTCGACATTAACACGAAAAACATCACGATAAGTCTTTTTAATCGAAACGTCAGCAACAACACTATAGACTTATTCTACAATAATTATTATATTTTACAATATCTATTCGCTTACTTGCATGTCCCGCCTCACGATGAACCCTTTTCCCTCGGGGTCACCGAGCTGAAAGAGCTTGTGTCCGATGGCCTCCATGGCGGAGGTTAGGTTAACCTACCACGTGGACGGTATTTTTTCAATAATTKTATTCTTATCTCGGAACTCGGCCACGACCCGGTGCCGTATGTCGWGCTCGTCGGTAGCAATAACGATATACCGCGGTCGCAGTTGTCGCGGTCGCCCGGGTGGGCAAGTGCACAGGCTGCGCACAAAGCTGCGTTCGCGCGCGGCAGTCCAAGGCCGAGTGAGCACAGTTCGCCTCATCGTCAAAAGCGGACCGGCGGTGAAATTTCTCAAAGTTACCATCGGATTATAACCGTCGTAGTCGCTGTCCCTAGAATAAAGTACTAGACCTCCATACTCCATAGGTCCTCACGAGTAGAGGTACCTATTTCAAATTGGGTCTGCGAATTATAATTGTTTATTATCTTATCAGATTGGGTTATTATTTTTATTGCGGAGTCCGAATTTATTGTTAACTTTGCGCTAATGAGGGTCCGACGGTGGAAAAGTTTGGGAAACACTGTCTATACTTGCAGCGTTATAGTCGATTCTATACCTTCGATCGGCATGATAGCTGGTGTACTTATATTTACTACTAAGTCTATTAGAAATTACGTAGGTAATAATGCTATTAATTTTTTTTTTTATGATTCACGATGTATAAAAATTTAAAGTGTGTGATTCAAAGTCGAAAATTACTGAAGGTTTAGATGATTTACAATTGTTTGCAATTTTGATTGTAAAAAATAAATGTTACGGCGATGTTGATTAATGTAAATCYTAAATCGACGTCGTCGTCGCACTTGATTGGAAACGCTCATCCACGAGTGTCCATCATCACTGATTCGTGTACGCACAATTTATATTATGTAATATATACTTTACCCTTTACCTACACACTGTATTTTGCATAATATTACGCATCGATAATATTTTCTTTTATTATTATTGATAATAACTGCCTCGGTGACTGGGGGGTCGTTGGCTAAAATAAATTGTACATAATTATTAATTTAGGGATACATTATTGTTAACCTGAGTAGAAACTTATAACTATACAGATGATAGTATAGAAAAGAGAATACGTATACAATTAATAATAATACGTAATAGGTTAATACATTATACATTTCTAATACATATTATCAGGGCACATTTCTATATACATTTTTTTAAATTTTGTATCTCTGAGGAATCTGAAAACATTGATAATACCGTCCGCGGCGTTTAGATTTTTTGCTAGATGGTGGATTAGATTTTACTTCGAGCGTTGTATTTCTTACTTTCTGCATTCGGCTAAGATTGTTTGACTGTCAGAGGATAGTTTCAGGTTGAGAATATAGGCGGATTTTCTTTTTTCACCAGGAAAACATGAGTTAATCTGGTATGGCCTATTCTATGCCTGTTTATTACGGTCATTTTTTCTTATCTAGTAAATGCGATGATAGGCCATGGAAGGATATAGTTTTTTATTTCGTTTAATTTAGTGTTGGATATTTTTCATTCGTTTAGCCATCAGTTRATAATTTTTCCTTTAATTATCAGTTTAATATCGGATATTGAATATATACTATAGACATTGGATTGAATCTGCTGATATAATGACATCTTTAGCAAGTTTATCCACTCTTTCATTTCCGGTAATATCAGTATGGCTCTGTATCCAAATTATTTTAATGATTAAGTTTTCTTTTCGTGATGAGTATATTTGGTTCTGTATTGTTCTGGCAGTCTCGTTTGGTCTAAAAAAGTTTTGAATACTCACGAAAGTACTWAAGGAATCACTAAAAATTATAGTGTTCGTATATGTGTCACTATTCTGAATTTTATAAATATTATATTTGTTTATAAATCATAATATTATGAACAAAGCTTTAACGCGCGTGWATCATACGATRTTTACTACATGGATCTATTATTCGTGTCGTTACCTATGGGCTTTTATGGCTGTACGCAGTTCCGTGAAATATGAGTGGTRGCGGGGATACGTCATCTCTGGGGTCAAGTGTTTGGTCTGGGGGGGGGATGCTCCCCCGAGGACGCTTTGATAAGGTCCTTGATTTGGCCTAATGCGCCAGTCATGGTCCCTCGCATAAGCAGGAACTTTGTACGTGGTTTAAGTCATCTGTTATTTGTTAATCTTTATACTATCCAACTATTGGTTGAATGCAAGTGTCCGATTGTAGATAAAATAACTGTCGCCAGAATCTGATGTCTACCTATGCAAACCGCCTAAAATAGATCTTCTAGTTTTTTTGGGTTTCTCTTTTATATTGACGTCAGCATTGTCTCCGAGTGTACCGTGTCATCCATCGCTTTCATATCTTCACACGGCATACCCACGTGCTTATAGTGATRGTTTGGAYATTTTTTGAAAGTTATATGCTCTGTGGAGTGTGATCTAGTCGTCTGTTTCGGAGGTAGGTAAATTATTATAGGTGTCTATTAATTCAGCCACTTGATTCCACGTACAAACAACTAATGGCGCTTTTGAATGGAAAAGTTGCTAAGCCAGTGATGTTTAGTGGTGAGTAGCAGTGAATGAAATTGAAACTGGTAATTCAACTAGTTCCACCCTTTCAAACGTCTAAAAGMCAGGCTTAAYTAATCATTTATATATAATTCACATTCCTSTGTATGTGCTTAATAAAATTACTTTTAATACCTAAAGGAACGTATCAAGTGTAATTGTGTAAAAACAAGAAAAATATTGTTGTATTACCAAATTTTTCAAAATTTTTTTACGACCTTTTATATTCACCCAAAAATTAAAAAATCTAAGTTCAACAATTTATTATAAATTGTATAATAGTTATAATTTATTTTGTCCCTTGCATTATTTATACATTTTGATCGACAATTAAGTAAATAATAAAAAAATATATATATAAATAGATGACGTCATTACAGTTGTTGGTATCATTTTTCATAAACAAATAGGTATCAATAGTAATAGTAATAATAATAATACAAATAAAAATTAACAATATGTATGCAATATGCATCTTGATAAAATGTACA